ATAGAAGACTGCTCCAGTACAATATTTGTCCAATTATGAGTACAGAAGACTGCTCCAGTACAATATTTGCATATTTCATTGATTTTACAGTTATACAGTTACACATTATATCAAAAGATTGAGTTGGAGCAGACCTCACCATATGACCTTTAATTTATCAAAATATTCACATAAATACACTTTTTTCTCTCAAAATCATTGAAATGTAGAATTTACATAAAATTCTTGATGTAATTTTTAACATATCACGGCATGGCTAATGAAAATAATTTATGCTTTAGTCTGCAGATATCCTGCTGGTTCAAACATAAATATAAACTTCTCCAAAGTTTTATTTTTGGGGTAGACATTGGTCATTACAGAATATAGTCCTTTGTGGTAAATTTAAACATACACGATACAAGGAACTTTAAATCTGAAAAAAATATTATTCAAAAATGTTGACAAAATGAAATAAAACTGAGTAAGTGGGAACTGATAGCTTCTTACAATACGTTACTATTGTACTGTATTTTAATGTATACGGAAAGGAAAAAGAAATGCATATTTTTGATTGATTAATTATTATAACTGTGTATATTCATGTTTAAATTATTTTGAATTTAATTGGGCTTTAAATAATGTCTAGAAAAGGATATGCGATAGAAAATCACGTAACCATGACTCTGGCCTGTTCAACCATGGTGCTAAAATGTCGTTTGATCCGATATTATACCTTCATTAATGACAGTTATGAATGAAATAATATGTAAAACTGTATTTGGCTATCATTGTGTCGGATAGTAATAAATCCTAAACTTTTATATTTAGGTATGAGTTTCTTTTTCCTTTCTGTATATTTACTATTACACACCAACTTTTTTCATGAGATTTCTTTTCATACCTGAATATTCAACAGTGACATTACAGTTAAAACTTCAAGTACATGTAGCTGTATTTTAGCAAATTATGTAAAGTTGAACTCCAGATTCTCAAACATTAACATTTTGAATAACATGGATATGTCAAAATGAGTTGGAATAGCCAACCACTTTTTATTTCAATATTTTAACCTCAATATCTCAAATTCTCTGATATCTTGAAATTTTTCTCATAGATTTTGAGAAAACCAGGGGTTGAAATTTTCCTGGAAAACTCACTAGCCCGGGGCTACTGATCAGTAAAACATCACTTGTCCACACCCCAAACTAACTAGCCCAACAATTTTTTATGCAAAAATGAAAACATAACACAAGTAAAAGTTTCAAACGCTTTTGGTGACAGAAACAAATTAAACCAGTTCTCAGTCAAAAGAAACCATTCTACGTAGAAAACAAAAGTAAACTGACGAGAATTTTTTTCTGGTCTGCTAATTTCCAAGTTTGATTGTAACTTGAAAGTGTATTCATGACAATTCCAGATTGCAGCCAAGAATTAGATAAACTGCCCACTTTATAGTTTGTACGCTGTACCAATGAAACAAGGTTTTTCTCTTTGTAACCATCTAGTACCTGGGGAGGAAACATGTGAACATCCCCATCATTACTTTGGTCCAGTACAGACTTGGCCATCATCAACTCCTTTTTCATTCCTTCCATTTCATTTCTGGCAGGATAATCAATCTCATAATGGACATACTGAAAAAAACCATTTATAAAGAAATTCACATCCGGTGCATATACATGTATTAAGGAATCTGCAACATGGATGAGTTTAAATTAAACTAAACTCTACAGAAACACAAATTACATGTATATTCCACAGATTTATCCACAAAAACAAACCTTGCATGTGTCCATGTGAAAACAGGTATTGAGAAATGAACAGTCACCAAGAGATTCTACAAGTACAGGAATTCAGATAAGCAATCATTGTTTTCTTCTTTTATGATGAAACTGACAATTGTTAAACCTCAAAATTGATCAAATTGACTTCAAATTACAACTATAAATTAATCAAATGAGAACAAAAGCACCAGTGTCTTTGTCAAGATCAGAGGGAAGGGGGATAATATTTGTTTGAGAGAAGAGAAATAATGTCACACTTAATTGTGTTCATGGAAGGGAGATAAATTAGTCAATTATATTACCATCTGTATGTTTGTGTATGATTTTTCTGAAGTGTAGTCTATCACATTTCTCTTTGGATTCTTTTAACCTTTGACACTCCTCCTTAGTTCCATACTGACAGAATTCTTGCACTTGTACACCTGAAAAATAATTAATGTGGGAATGGTGGTAATAAGCTTTGAAATGTTCTGATTGCCATCATTGTCCACAAATACTGAACTTACATGTATATCAGGAAAAACACGTATTTTGGAGCAGCATAGAAATGCAGCTAAACATGCAATGCCATATAAATTTGTATATGAATTATGTTTCTAGACATTGACAGTGGTAAATCATGACTGTGCTATGTAATGCATGACTTACAATTTCACTGCATTCTGAATGCACTGAATTTAGTTTTAAAAAGCATCAAATTATACTTACCTCCCTGAGACTTAAATCGTTTCACTAAGATTTGCTCCTGTTAAAGAGAATAAAGATTGTTTCAAAATGCTACATTTCTCCTCAGAGAAATGAAATGTTTACAGATTATGTATAATTCAGCAAACATCCAAATGCATTTACAGTATCTTTTCTCAAGACAGAAATTAAAAAGATTTTATCTTTTTTGTTTTGTTTTGTTTTTTGTTTGTTTTTTTTTTGTTAATTACTCTAAGAATATTTACCTTTGCTGTGGGATGTGCTAATAACTGTTGAATTTCCTCATTTACTTGCTTGCTCACTCTTTCTTTTGCTGATTGCATGGAAAGCAAACTCTTTAAAAAATAAAAAGAGGAAATGTATCACTGACATTAATTTAAACAACTTTGCATCAACTTAAAACCAATGCAGTGTTTCATGCATCAGCATCTATTATATGTATTTGTCTTTTACATGTACATGTATTTCTCATCAATTAATTAATATATGTAGATGAATAATTTCATTACTTTTCTTGCAAATTCAAGAAAATCAATGAAATCAATTTTTCAATACATAAATGTACCAGTACATTTATTAACATGCATATCAAATTAATTAAGGGGTTTACCTCAATGTCATCAATACCTGCATCTGTACTCTGCTGTTTAGATTGTTTCTGTGGTCGCTTTTTACCTATATCATCATCATCTCTACAATTCACAATAAAAATGATAGAGAAAAATGTAAAAGAAGATGATACATATGTAAAACTATAAGTATATATAGTAAATGAAATGAATAATTAAAGCATACTCCTCTCTTTTCCTCTTCTTCGATTGTGGGTTTTTTATCACAGCTAACAACTGTAAAATAAAATACATGTACATTAATTATTATCTGGTATTCTGTTTTATACAATCGGTAAGAAATACTTGTAAATGTATGGAAGAGTACATTTAATGTTTCTTATCTTCATCTCAGATTTTGAATTTTTTTCATTCAGAACATTGAAATCTATTTTTACTTTCAGTTATTCTGCATAAATACCTATCTGTCAAATCTGAAAGTCTGATAGCAAGTAAGCATTTTCATAAAACTGCTTAAAATGACAAGTTATATGCTGCAATTTCAGGTATTAAAAAGCAATTTACATTACAAAGGAGAAGAACATCAAAATAAAATTTATATTAAATTACAACATAATGAAAGAGAGCCATCACTAGCTTAAGATTTCAGTTTTACTGAACAGGTATCATTCCTTCGGGAAAGTCCAGGAGGTTAACAATTCATGTATATACAATAAATAGAAAAATATAATTAATTAATTAATTATCAGTAATAAAATTTTATAGACAAACCTTTGTTAGATCTAAATCTTGAACAATATATTTACTATTCCCGGATGAAGGACTTTCTTCTGTGGTAATACTGCAAGAATACATGTGATTGAAATTGGTGAAAAAATGGGTATATCATTATGATATTGAAAATGTTTATTTCAATTCATTTCATCGAAAGGATATTCACAAAAACTCATTTTATAGTAATGAATATGTACTAAGAAAATTATCACCTTATCAATTGCCGAGAAGCAAAGTTCTGCAGTAAACCTTCAATAGTAGCTAAAGTAACACCTCTTCCTAGGGCTTTTTTAGTATGGTCTGCAATGACTGCTGCATTACATGGTATATCTAAATTAATGTCACACAAAACCATCAGCACTTTCTTCTCTACCTCTGGATCTGACTTTATGGGCTCTTGAGCTTCTTTCTGGGGTACATCTGGTTTGGACAAAACTTGGGCTGCTTTGGGTACTGAGACTGAACTGGTATGGGAAATAACCAGGTCTGGATTACTATCCTTTTTTGTTCCGTCTGCATAAGTAAAAGCTACCGTTGTGAAACACAAATATTGTACTAGTGAACATTTTTTGTCACAATAGATCCAGGTCATAAACTGATGATTGCAACAGAATGCGTTTTTTTTTAATTTGAATACATTTAATTTAAATTTCATATACAAATGAATATATAAGGATTACTGTGTTGCTCATAGTATTATTCAAGAACTATTGTGTTTTTATTGTTAATGAAGAAGTGAAGTTAGGAGACCTGTGACTGAAGATTGTGATGATTTTGATATTTCTGCTTCTAAACCCTCTCTTTCCTTCTTCCTCTGCAACATACGCGCTCGCATACTACTAAGTGACATTTTGATTGTTTAATATTTTGGTCTTCACCAGTTAACTATAATTTTTTCAATCCTTGCCAAAATCAAAACGTTTCAATGACTACACGCGAACTTGAATAAATAAAATTCAAACCGGAATTAATTCGGAATTTTCAAAAATGGATTTTTAAACATGGAAAAATCTAACATAAGAAAGAGAAAGATTGAAATATCAAATAAAATGCATTTATTATAATATATATATCCATAAAATGGCACTATTCTAGAGAAAATCCATCCGGAATGTGCTTTTTTCCCTTTTTCCACATGCTGTTTTTAATTTTATGCACTTTTTTACAAGCGCCATTTATACGCAGATCATAGCGGGACAATGACTACACACGGCAGAACCACTGGCTGGCCCAAAGGAGCAAATCCAGTGTCGTATGCAGCAAAATATGGCATTACGAACCCTTCTCCAACTTTAGATCGCCCAATCCATCTGTACGTATATATAAAAATGTTGCACAACTTGAATTTATCACTCAATTTGTTTATCCAGTACACTGCATTAGCTGAGTGCTTGGCTCGGCATTTCCTTTTGCCCCCTGGGCACGCCAGTGACACCCCAATAATACCCCAAATGAAACACCAATAACATAGTAAATTTAAATTTGAAGTAATATCACTAAGGTGTATGTTTTTTTTTTTTTTTTTGATCGATTTTCTCAAATGTACTCAAACACTGAACAGGGCACAAGGTTTTGGTTTAGCTACATGTATGCGGTATAATGAGTATAGCTTGATTTAGCTATTTTATCATAATCACACTTTTTTTATTAGATGTACAATTTTCTTAGCATGTTAAAAAAGTTGCACTTAGGTGCAGTGAAATTTTTCAACTCTGAAATTCTCTGAAAACAGTGTACAGACTCAAAGGAGCAAATCCAGTGTAGTTTACAGCAAAATATGGCATTACAAACTCTTCTCCAACTAAAGCACTCAAAGTTCTAAAAGTTTTTTGGTTATATAAAGCGATTGATTTGTGACTGCACAGTAACTTCTCCCTTCTGGAATTAATTTATAAAGGAGGTCAGTTATGGTCAACTAGATAATTGATTGGTATAATTCTGCACAATGTGAAGTAATCAAACTGATAGCCATGCCTCAACGCACACAAGGTAAAGTACGAGATAAAATACAGTTAATTTTTATCTCGGATATGAACTGATTGACTTCCTCTCTGGTAAGGCCAAAGTTTTTATTTTTTTTGGTTTACGATTTTCTGTCTCAAAAAAATGCATTGGGTGGTCGAAAAATAAAAATAATCTAGGATTCAACAGTTTCATTTTAAAATACCAGCAATGTTTATTTTAATAAAAATAATACACGTCAATGGTACTTTTAAGTTTTATTGTCTAAATCACATAACTCTTTTTATTTAATTTGGATTCATTTCTAACTTTAGACTGAATGTCATTTTCATTTACATATAGTTCTGATTTTTGTTTGTCAATCAGTGCTTGGTTCATGATGTTCAACTTCTTTTTGTGCTCTTCAGTGATATGTGATGGGTTATAAACCTCGGTATCCCCACAAACTAAAAATAAGGATCCAAATTTAAAATTTAAATTTAGATTGAAGAAAAATACAATTTAATTGTTTAACAGTATCAAAAGTAATTGACGTTGAAATAAAGGTTATAATAATTTGATCATGCAGCTATCAAATTTAATGTTCAACCTGCGGCACAAAAGCCTAATAATTTCTCAATTAAGTCCTTCTTTAAATTATTGTTATGTACCTGCACAGTAGGCAATGCTCATTATTTACTTAGTAATTCAAAGGGCTTTGATCTCAATTGAGTATGAAATTTGCAAAGATTTGTATATTGAATTTACTTCAATAAATTAATAAATGTTTTATACACATTTGAATTTATCCAGGGAAATACCAGTCAGCCTTACTTCAACTAAGATGTATCTCTCAACACTAAATTGGCCTAACTATTATGATATCTATAGGTGTAACCGTGTCTGCTAGGTCGATCAGGGTTGGGCATACACTCTCCAACATTACGGTATGAACTTAGCCAATTGAGACATTGCAATTGGAGAAAGGGATCATGCATCCAAGATTTTATTCACTTTTCCATGCAGAAAAAGTTCTTTAAGTGTGTGTCATTGCTTTCAGTGAGGAATTACCTTGTTTCATGACAGAACCACCATTTTTGGTCTGCACATGTGTTTATTTACAGTCACCTAAATGTTTGTAAAGGTCTCATATTATTTATAAGCGCTTAAGCGACTAAGATGCATTCTAAAATTTAAAACCCACCAGTTCAGCTGAGAAAAATCCGGAAAAATATGTCGATAAAAAAAGATATTGTTTTTATTTTCACGATTGGTGAAAATTAGGGTCAGCGGAATCGTAAACCAAAAGAAAAAAAAACTTTGGCCAAATGGAAAAGTTACTTTATTAGTCAAGTGTGAAACAAAACATACAAAATATGAATAGGTGTGACCATTTGAATGCTGATTATTGTGGATACCATCAGATGCCTTCATATACATCTACATCTTCAAATCTCATGATACAATGGAAGATTTAAGGTGGGATGCACTTAATCTAGGTTGTGTCATCTTTAGTCATATGTTGGTAGGACTTCTATTACAGAATCTAAATAATGCAAACTTTTGAAGGCATTGTTGAATTTTTAAAGAGAAGATTCAGTTATTATTATCTTATCTTTTCATCTTTAAGCTGTCTGTATGAACTAAATCGTTACTGCCTTTGTTTTGTTTGCTGTTATTGCATGGAATTGTTGTAGCAGTGGAATTCTTGGAACATTACACCTCTATTTAAAGCCATGCAATAATAGCCTAAGTCAATTTTGAAAATCTTAGTTGAACTTTCTGGATCTAACACTAGACAGAAAAAAAAGAAAAGAAAAAAAAGAAATAGCATATGAACTGGGCACTACAAAGTTTTACAACCTCATTTTGTCATCCATGTTATGGTTATTGATATATCTTTATAGGGAGCTAGCAGAATTGTCAAAAAGATTTTCATCAGTCTTAGACATTTGGCACGTTTGGTATGACAAAGTAAAAGGATCTGTTGGACCAGACAAAATTTTGTCAGACCAGATACATGTACCTTGTTTTGTACATAACTGCACCACAAATGTCCTTTATTTTTTCAACATCATTCCATCTCACAATTTTCTTTTCTTATGGATAGCAAGACTTTAATCAGAGGTATAAATGATTTATGTTTATTCTTTAACAAATTTGATCAGACACTGTCACCATGCCATCTCTGTTATTTTTGTGACCTTCACCTGCGCATCCTGATCTTTTAAAAAATTTGCAGCATACCTGATTTTTTTTTAAACGGTCATTTTGACCGACATTTCTGAGTAAATTATCAGTCCAGACAATTTTTTACTGGCCTTGTGGACAGGACTTACAGTTTTCGACAACTCTGCGTTAGCTTTGTCTTTTAAATTACTATTTTTTAAAGTGTCATTTAATTAAAATAAGAAGAATCAAGAAAACAGAGTTGAGTAAGTTTTCATTATTTTTAGATATCCATTGACAAACTACACATTTGGAACCAAAGAGCCATTATATGAGAAGGACAGCTCAGTGCCAGCTAGATTCCAACGAATGAGAGATGAATTTGAGAAGATTGGAATGAGACGATCCGTGGAGGGAGTCCTGATTGTCCATGAACATGGTTTACCTCATGTCCTACTTCTACAGCTGGGAACAACATTTTTCAAATTGTAAAGATTTAACATGTTCAGTTTAAGGCTTATTTCATTTTCTTTTCACATAAAAGCAAAGGACATGTAGTATTGAAAGTACAATAGCCAAGGAAAATTCATTCTGAAAGACTGAAAGATTATAATTATACCTTGGGCAAATTAAACAGCAACTAGGGCTGTCACAGTTACCTGAAATAACCAATAACCGCGGTCCAAGTTCGATTCGGTTTCGGTTCCATTTTTCCGGAATTTCGGTTTCGGGTCTGGTTTATATATTAGAGTCTGTTCAATACAAAATATGGCGTCGAAATCAAAGGAATGATGACGATAACAGTGATAAATAAACATCACAACTGAAATCTACTTCATTCCATGACAAAACACTTGTCATGGAAGTATTAGATAATTATCAAAATGAGCAGGAATGGTCAGGTTGTGGCTAATAGTAGGCCAAGTAGTTCTACACACCGATGTCTAGACGTTCGCATGGTTAAGACTTGTTTTGAATGTAAATTTAATGTAACAAATAAAGATTTTTCAAGTTAAATTCATGAAATTAAGGTTCAAAATAGATGTAAATAACCGAACCAAAAAACCTGAAACCGAACCGAAAATTTACAGATCCGACCCAAAAAATTTTGGAACCGTGACAGCCCTAACAGCAACTATTTCACAAATACAGATCAGGGAAGGAAAATCAATTAATATTTGAAAAAAATACATCTTTAAGCATGACTATGAAAAGTTAGTTTGTTGCTAAGTGTACCAAGAAATTTCTAAAATAAACATGTATACATATACATGTGTGTACAGATTTGTTTATATATGACTTTCAGACCTGGTGGAGAATTAAATTCAGGAGAAGATCAGGTTGAAGGATTGAAGAGATTACTTACAGAGGTAGCCCTATTTTATTTTGCATATATTGACAAAAACAATTGTAGGTATTAAAACATGTACATGTATTTTCATGTGAACATGGAGTTATCTTTCTCATTAATGCTTATTTTCATTTCTTGTGTAAATGACTGTCCCTTTTCTTTTGTCAGACTTAGTATAATAATCTGTGTTAAATGATTTCAGACACTAGGAAGACAAGATGGAGGAACAATGGAATGGGTGGTGGAGGATACAATAGGGAACTGGTGGAGGCCAAACTTTGAACCCCCACAGGTAAAAAGATACCAAGAGGACTTCAGATAGAGTCTGGAGTCTGAATGTATGAACCCCCACAGGTATAAAGATACCAAGAGGACTTCAGCTAGAGTCTGGAGTCTGACTTTGTGAACCCCCATAGGTATAAAGATACGAAGAGGACTTCAGCTAGAGTCTGGAGTCTGACTGTGTGATCCCCCACAGGTATAATGATACCAAGAGGACATCAGCTAGAGTCTGGAGTCTGACTTTGTAAACCCACACAGGTATAAAGATGCCAAGAGGACTGCAGCTGGATTCTGTGTGAACCCCCACAGGTATAATGATACCAAGAGGATTTCAGCTGGAGTCTGACTGTTTGAACCCCCACATGTATAAAGATACCATGCGGACTTCAGATAGAGTCTGGAGTCTAATTGTGTGAATCTCCATAAGTATAAAAATACTAAGAGGACATCTGCTGGAGCCGCAATTTTACGACTTTTGATATTTATTGCAAAAGTTTACCCTTTTGGCCAATTATTGTGAAACTCATTTTTATGCCCTCCTTCGAAGAAGGGAGGGCATATTGCTTTGCAGCTGTCTGTCTGTTGTTCCATCAAAAGTTTCCATTCATTTTCTTTGCAAAGGTTGCACATAATGAAATGAGAAATGAAATATACAGATTTATCACAAAAATATCCAGGTCAAATTCTGATTTGGGTAGATCAAGCAATTTTTGACAGACTTATGCCCCTTAGACTTAGAAAAATTCCAATTATTTGCAGTTTCCGTTCATTTTCTATGCAGAGGATGCACATAATGAAATGAAATTTGGTATACAGATTTATCATAAGAATATCTAGGTCAAGTTATGATTTGGGTAGATTTAGCAATTTTTGACAGAGTTATGCCCCTTTGACTCAGAAAAATTCCAATTATTTGCAGTTTCTGTTCATTTTCTATGCAGACGATGCACATAATGAAATGAGATGTGGTATACAGATTTATCATGAGATTTATCTGGGTGAAGTTCTGATTTGGGTAGATCGAGCAATTTTTGACAGAGTTATGCCCCTTGGACTTGGAAAAATTCCAATTATTGGGGGGGGGGGGGGGGGGGGAGGACAGAAGTGTTTCACAAACATCTCTTGTTTAAAATAATTTTATTGTAATGCCTTTTAATGCCTGTATCTTTTCATCTTGTTTTAGTATCCATACATACCAGCACACATAACCAAACCAAAGGAACACAAAAGACTTTTTCTTGTGCAACTCCCAGAAAAAGGTAATGTTTATGAAGCTCATTGACTGTAAATCCTTTATCTCATACACAGTCAATGTACCTCAATTGGTGGATAAAGTTAAACTATGTCACAAAAATAATCTACATGTATATAATAACTTTTTGTAAATCTTGACTGTTAAAAGTTTCAGCCAAGTTGATGAGGGTTGTGTTATATGACTTAAATGTGCATTACAATAAACATTTCTCTTTATATACATGTAGATAAGGTACTTACTCTCTTTAAAGCTGCATGTTCATCATAGAATAATGAGTCTGAGATGATGTACCATATTTTGGGGGGTATACGTTGATGGGGTATATAGGATGAAAGGCTCATTTTTAGCTCTAATTTTTAAAAAATCCATAGATAGGACGAATTCGGAAGATAGGACGAGGCGTTGTTTATCGATTTTCTAGAGATTATTACGTAGATACTACATATCGGAATGTATGAACTTCTTGGCTTACCCCGTGATATTATCGTATTGAGAAAATAAATGGTATTTTTTTAGTAAAACATTTTAATAGTGTTTTATATATTAAAAAAAGTTTCTTTAGTTGCAACTTCCTTGAATTCTGCTATAAACATATTTTCTCCAACTTGCCTGTTCAATGCCATCGTAGTTTGACTCTGTCGTTAAACAGTATCCATAATACGGTAGTATATGACAACTATAAATTAGAGAAATACCCCAGACCAAACAATAATTATTCCCAGTTTTAAACATCATGGACACATCCTTAACATATTTTATATAGGCATTATTTACAATATTAACTTCGATGACCGTCATTTTTATATTTCTTGTGTTAGGGATTAGCTAAAAATGCAGATGACTATTACATGTAATAGTGAGCAATTGAAATTAATCGTATTTTTATTATGTAATTTGGCCTGTGATATTGTTGTAAAAATAAATTTAATTAAGAGTACATTTGCAATTTAACAGTCATCTTGAATTCCACGGCTTTGTATGTTCGATGATGTGTAGCACTAATACCCCAATTTACGGCACGTGCTGTTAATCATGCCCCGTTTTATTTTTAGTGAACGAGTGCGACTTCCAACTTCACAAGATGGAGACAGATAGCATTTTGTAAAATATACTTTGATGAAGCACTATTTATGGGATGATTAAATAATTTTTTTTGATACATCGATGGATATTTAAGGGAACTTAACATCAATTCTCTGTAAGGACCAAAATTTTACTGTAGGGCTGTGGCACACACCATGAGCGATTTGCATGAAACTTTTTCAGGTGATTAATGCCCATACATTATGACATAATAAACATTCAAAATTAAGGTTACTACCTTGGTTGCCATGGTAACGGGCTAATATAGATTTTTCCCCATTTACTCTCAATTCAAGCATAAAAATGCTATATACTTGATTTCACGTGGTTTAATCATCTTTATTATTTTGAGATAATTCATACATTATATGAATAGAACGAATGAAGCACTTTATAACACAATAAAAAAAAATTTTACAAGTCACTGCAAATTCTTCAATTAATGGCTCAAAGATGACCAAATTCTAACATTTTGAAATGGTGGTTATTACCCTATATTTCAAGAAGTCTTTCAAGAAATGCAGGCAATTCAAGAAAAAATCACCTGAAATTTTAGAAACACCATAATAATATTAGTTAATTTTTATGAAAAGTAGAGTGGGGATTTTTTTTGTTTTCAGTATTTTTAACTTCGAAAATTGGCATTTTGCCAAATAATATTTTTTTCAAAATGTTACTAGACACTGGTTGTTTTATAAAATTTCTTTTCCAAACATTTTTCTCACGAATAGATAAGACAAACGGAATGATAAGTAAATATTATTAAAGATAATAAATAAGATAAACAAAATTAAATGAATTATTATTGTTTCTCTATGATCCTTTACAAAGGGCATGTAACTCAAAATCTGAAGAAAATTAGCTATTCAACTTTTCACTGGTACTTATTTCAGTAAACAACATTTTCAAATACTAGATAAAAAATGGAAAAAGATAATGGATAAAAACTCTAATGATACTTTTCAACCAAAAAAATAAATAAATAAATAAATAAATAATAAATTCGGGCTTTATGGAATTTGATCTCGTGACCAACCCGTATTTATATCCCGATAGATGTTTAAAGATGACACTTTATTATTTATATTTACATTTTTTACTTATTCATATTATATATTAGCCTGATTATAACTTTAACGCGTGAAATGTTTTATTTTTTCAAACTCAACGGCACGAGTTTGATCTGTTGATTTGCGCATCGACCCTTTATGACGTCACTGAGAAATTACGTCGAACGTTTATGACGCGAGGAACCTGTGTTTATACGGATATAGATACGCGTTGCTTTTAATAGTGTTATATAAAAGAAAACATTTGCAAATGTAAATATTTAAGAAATAAGGTATCATTTTTAAACATCTATCGGGATATAAATACGGGTTGGTCACGAGATCAAATTCCATAAAACCCGAAGGGCTTTATGGTAAATTTGATCTCGTACCAACCCGTATTTATAGCCCGATAGATGTTTAAAAATGATACCTTATTACTTATATATACATTTGTCACTTATTTATATTTTATATTTGCCTAATTATAATTTTTAACGTGTGAAGTGTTTTATTTTTCAAACTCAACGGCACGTGTCTAATCCATTGATTGCGTGTCAACCCTTTATGACGTCACTGAGAAATTACGTCGAACATTTATGACGCGAGGAACCCGTGTTTATACGGATATAGATACGCATTGCTTTCAATAGTGTTATATAAGAGAAAGCATTTGCAAATGTAAATATTACTTTTTCATGCATAGGTAGGTAGATATTAATTTAGCAAGTTTGAAATTTGATAAGCTATTGTTAATTTCCTCCATTTAAATTTTGCTTCTTCCCAGATGCAAATCTTTAGATATCAATTTGAAATTTAGAGTTATTTAGAATGACCATAAATTAACACCCCATTAAAAATAAAACCATTAATGTATATTCTTACAATCAGAAAACATACACATATTCATGTGTATAATTTTATCGTTACTTTTAAAAACAGTTTTTTTTTTTTCAAATTATTAATCAAGCAAGAATCTACATCTAAACATTATCCAAAATGTGTATTTAGAGATAAACAAAATGTAGAAAATAACTGCTATATAGCAAATTTGTAGACAATAGAAACAGCTATGCTTGATGTTTCCGTGATTTCTCTTTACATCAGAGGTTGGCCAGTATGTGGCGTTGTGTCTGACCAGTCAAGAAGAATTTTAAATGGGTTTGAAAAGTGAAACTTGAAATAATCATCTTCATCTTTTCCCCTGGAATAAAAAACATACATGTACTTTAATTAAAAATCAATTGTTTAATATCTACTACATTTTTCATGTGATAACAAATACAAGTATATAAGCATATCTATTTTATTAAAATGTATATAATATTAAGCTACTAGTTAGTATTTACACCTCCAGATAAATTGCCTCAGAATTCCTGCATGTGTACTTTAAAAAACAGGCTTCCTATCACAGGTGCTTGGGGACTGGACCCCCCCCCCCCCCCTTCCCCTGCGTTCTATACCCCAAGGGTTCTCCCGGACTTTTTTTATATAAGATATTTTTCTATGACACATTCACAAAGTTTTTTTTTTAAATTGACTTTAGACACAAACAAACATACATACACATACACAAACACAGACACACCACGGCTGGAAAGCTTACATACAGATTTTTAGGAATAAAAATGAAATTAAAAAAAATATGAATACAAAAGATATAGTAAAATAATAATGTAGATGACATAGATTTATCTATATGTTTATGTTTTGTTCGCTAGGTGCAAATATCTGGTTTCAGTAAATCCATCTTCTTTTATAGTTAATACACATGAAGTTCATTGTTTTATTTATTTTTTATAAAAATTCATACTCTTGGATACTAAAAGAGAACTTTTAGTATCAGAAAGTATGAATTTTTATAAAAAGTTAGTTTTAAATTATATTTTGGATTTTTCAATTGTAATACTTTGTGAATGTATCATAGAAATATATTTTATTAAAAAAAGTCGGGGAGAACCCTTGGGGTACGGAACGCGGGGGAGGGGGTCCCATCCTCAAGCACCTGTTCTTCATATTTTATCGCCTTGAATGCAGACAACAATTTGCTAATTACTGAATATCGTAAATAAACCATTAATAAATACAATACATGGCGCAGACGTATGTAGCGCTAATTCATGATTACGCCAACCACTCCATACCCAGTGATTGCGCTAAATTTTGAATACGCCAATTTATGTACACATACAGTATTTTCAGTGTAGCCAATTGCAAGGTAAAAGTAACTGAAACAATTTACCATCACCTACTCCAAAAGCTGTCCCCATGCTCTAACAGAATATTCTCCAAAAGAATATTGTTCAGTTAAGATACTGTCCGATGTTCAGTTCTCAAGGTCAATTGCAAGGTTTTTTTCTCCATTAGTTAATTTTGTAACTGCCTCCTGCTTCTGGTATTTAGCCTTTGTGTTGAAATAAAGATGATAAAAATACAAGAATAAAGGTTCTCTTTATGTGCTGGTATCTTTTCCTCTTCTTTTTTTCAAAGCACCAGTACATCTAAAATATGTTTAAAATATTTTTTTTCAAATTAAAGAAATTCATTCTTATTGTCAATCATGAATACATACATTTACATGGGTATATTATATTTATATCTTATTAGTGTGTATTTATAGCTGCAGTTAAATTATTCTCTATTGAGAAGCTGATGGCTCGTTTTAATACTCCCCCCTCAGGGGGAGTATTAAAACGAGCCATCAACTTCTCAATAGAGAATACAGTTAAATATGTTTTGTTCTTTTACAGTGAATCTGAATTATATGACTTCTTTTTAGGCTAAAATTTTTTTTTATGTGTTCCCGTTAAGTCGACCATCTCTAATTTTTACCCACCACCTACCGGTACTACTTTATTGGCCAAATCAGATTTTAAACTGTACCACTGGCGGATTTAGAGGAGGGCCCAGCCCCCCCCCCCCCGTGTCTAAAATATACATCAGATTTAATAAATCAATTTTTTGGTGTGGCCTTGAGCCCCCACCCCGACACCAAACTGGTCCCTTCCCCTTTTCAAGATTCCTGGATCCGCCACTGTGTACAACGTTACCAAAAATATATGTTTTTTTTTAATATTAAATTGCCTTGTGTATATTTTTCATTACATACAAACTTGCATCTTCTATAACATTCTCCTCCTTTTGATAAACTTTGTAGTTATGATTTGCCAAAGTAAGTTGCTTTCTGAAGCAAGCAAAAATTCCTATTATAATAATGCAAATATATTACTAAAATTATATCTGGAATGTCCTGCTAACATGGTGATCTTTGAATATAGACCAATTAAGTCTATTATAGAAAAAAAAATTATTTAATTTAAAAATTATGTCAATTTAATTGAAAAAGCTTCTTACATGTAGTTTTTATACAAAATGAATATTTGAAAAAAATCAAATTTATACCTGTGCCTAGGGTTGTTCTAACCATTCCCACTGACTGCCGTATCTTCTGCTTGTTGTATTCCTCCAATTGCATCTTGCATTTTTCTCATGGGTTTTAGAGAGTGCATGGAATCCCACATGATGGGAATACAAGTCAGACTTCATAAAATTTGTTTCAATATTTTGCAAAGTGAATTTGACTTTAAAAATCTATTATTAATAAAGACCTATACATCATTATCAAGTTGAATGCTGAAAAAGCAGTGTCTCCTTCTTTTGATGACTTACTTTGTCATTCACACCTGAATTCCATTTTAAAAAGTTGAAAAACACATCATTTTTCTGTTATTGTTTCATGTTTATTTTTCTGGCATCTGTTTTTGCCACATGTTGTTATAAGCTTCTTTAGACTTCAATACAGGAGAGTCAACAAAGGGAAATAACACCAGTTTAATTTTTTGTCTTCAGTGCAAAAGAGTCAGCAAAGGGAAATAACTCTAGGTTAATTTTTAGGAAAAATTATAATTTGAGGGGATTGGAATATGACTTTTAACTGATTTCCCCACCTCAAATCTTTTTGCATCTTTTAGATCTAAGCTCGATCTTACTACTAAAAATATCTTTTTTCTAAGTTTCAATTGCCTGCAAAAATTAATATGCATATCAAGAAATAGGCACCTTTGTATTCATTTTTATGACAAATTCATGTAAATTGATCTGTATCATATTAAAAACCTTGGGTTAAATTGAATAAAATTTAGATGCACAGAAACTTTAATTACTTAGCTATAAAATGAAACCCATGTTATGTTGATAACTTTCCTACATTAAGGAAGCACGGAATTATTTTACATGGTGATGACAATCAGGTCAGTTTTGCCATAACAAAATATTTCAAAGTCGTTGCTATGGAAACCAAGGAGGTACTCTCCAAAATTTACCCACCAATAGTCTTTATATAGGGCACTCTCTAATATTATAGTGATAAAATAAAATTCCATGATAGTGCGTGGCCAAGCATTTTTGGTCCTTACAGAGAACTGATGTTAATTTGCAAGAAATCAGTGGAATATATATTTATTTCTTTATTGTGTATTATTTTTTCTCGGTAAAATAATTTGAAAAGTTACGAAAATTGTACAGATTTGTTTTGAAATTGAAATTGAATTTGAAATTTTATGGATTTGGGGTCATTTTTCGTAAACTTGAGCCTTAGAAAGGTCGATTCTTTAAATAGGACGACCCCAAAGGTTTTGAGAAAAAAAGTATGGACCTATCTTCCAAAAATTACGGTATTAGTATATGTACATTACATGATAGGGTTCATAAACATAATTGACAAATTCACTGGTAAATACATATACATGAGTTTCCTAATGTAGAAGTGAACATTTATTATTGCCTGATTTTATGCATGTATAAGCATCATACAACTTTTTGAAATTATTTAAATATCTTATATTTGAAATTTTTTTGCATAAGAAAGATGAACTAATCCTAGTAATAATTAGGATTAGCAATAAAATGCATAATTACGAATAAGTAATTCACAGTTTGAAACAGTCATATCAAAAGCAAATTCATGACATTTGTTTAAAGGATGACTGCACTTAAGGACATGTGAAATTTGCAACAAAATAAACTTTCAAAACAAGCATTTTTCTTTTCATTGAAAGAATGGTCAACATCCAATCTACAACTTTATGTTATTATGTTTAATAAAAGTGTGTATTTACGAAGTTCGAATCTGTTTTCAAAGGCAGGGGTCGTCACAATTTCTTGAATCTCCGTTCGATAATGAGGATGCCCACTTTTTTATTGACTTTATACATAGTCAGCACGTGTTTGTCTATTGTTCTACGTTTAACAGTAGTTGTATATTTGCATAAATAATAATGTGTCAAAAGGAGATTGATAGACAAACGTGCTCATGGTTAAAAAGAGAAAAAAACTGCTTCTTCTTACATTCGCTCTTTGTGTTGCAACCAAGGATTGTGACATGTTGAATATTATAATTTACCAAGTGATTTCTTACCTCAGATAACTTTGTGAATACTAAATTCTGTCACGTGACTTGTAAGCTAGCAAGTTTTGTGCTAACTAGGACATTGTGTTCGAACACGTTAAGTCATCTGGCATTGATATAAAATCTGCTTTAATTACATTAACGTCCTCATATCGTTAATTTCGTTTTGAAAACTTTGTCAGAATGTATTTGTGCCATACAGAATGGTGAGGGAGATTGGAAAGAGTGATCACGGTTTTTTTTTTTCAAACATGTCATTGTTATTTATCAAGTCTAATTTTAGACCCATTCTTACACTGTTAGCTCCACTTCTCATGCATATCTAATGTTCAATCAAGGGCAGGTGAGTGTAAATTCACAATAATTGGAAAGCAGTAAGGACAAAAAACATTGAATCATTTTATTGCGTCACAGTCTAAAATCATTTTAAGATTTAAATTTGGTTCCAAGTTGACAGGATTTTTTCATAAACATGCAAAAGTGAAATAAGGTTTAGATATACCTGGTAGAAGCAACAGAAGCACCGAAAAAGACCCAAAAACAGGCGTTAAGTGCAGTTATCCTTTCTACTTATCTGTCGATATTCAGTCATATGTATACACATATATGATTGATTCATGTGTATCAATATTGTAATCTTTTAATCATTTGATATTTAAAACGGAAGTGGAGGAAAGGGGAAATCATGCAAACAAGATCATGAAATATTTATTGATGACTTAAACACTGGGTTGTGTGCAGTTATGTCAGCCTGTGTGTCATTTTAACAATTATAGATTATCATTATTATCACATGCCATGAACAAATGCCAGTAGATATTTTTAACCCCCTCCCAAGTTTTGTTTTTAAATTTTAATCAGCTTCATTTGCATACCTGTACATGTAAATGGATGGCAGAAAACAGAATTAGTTAAAAATGAGGATGTTAAATACTTCAAAAACTAATTGGTATATAAGAAATTTTTTTTTTTTAAAGATGAACATTTCTTTGATAATTCAATTAACCATTTGAATTGATTATTTATGTTATAGTTATCAGGCAATATCCATCCTCTGTAATTATAGTAACAAGACAATGAGCATTCTTATTACAAGTAAGATTAACTCATTATAATTTATCACACGAGATTATCCATTTTTAATGGAGAAAGAAACTCCTTTTTTTGCAGCATTATTTGCAGTCCCAAGAAATTACAAACTGGTGGCCGCTCCCTTATTTGAACTCTATGATAACAGTGCAGGATATGGACCAATCATCTCAAGTTTACCACAAGCACTAAGCCGGTGAGTACTCTGTTTTAGTCAGTTGACATCAAAAGTCTTATGAGTACATGTACATTGTTTCATAATGAAATGAAGTTGCTTGAGTGTAGGTTGAACTGGTTCATATTGATGCTTTCTGACATTAACATTGTAGTAATTTGATTAGTTTTTATTTCTACGTGGTCTTTGTTTGTTTTGGTTCTTTTTTTTTTGTAAAATTGACAAGCTGAACATAAGTTGTGATCCATTACTTTGGTGGTTCTGACCATTATCATCATTGGTTTACTAGAGTTATTTTTCTTGTGCCTGAAAACAATTCCATTCCTTTGTCCCATCATTCATCTCTTAGTTTTAATCAAGGATGTACATTTGTTTTGTAATGCTGGGTTGTCCCTAAGAATTGAAATAGCAGGGGGCATAAAAAAAGTAGAAAGGATTTTTGGGTTCCTCCCCTAACAAGGGGTTGAGGGGGAACACCAGAGCAACCAGGGGATAATGTCAGTATAGACTGGGAAATTCCTTGGCCCCAGGGTCTTAGGGACGAACCTGAAATGGGTATTTTGAATATCAAAATTAAGATGAAATACATGTATTTCAATTACCCGAAGATTATGTACAAATACGATGAAAAAATTTAATCATATGAAGAGTATGTACATGTAAATGTTAATTGTTTTCCAAAAAAGATGTTGGTTTTCCCTTTGTTCTGATTGGAACTCAAAATTTTCTGCTGTTCTTGGATGTTCTAACCATGGTGGTCAGTATTTACAAATTTTGTTCAAATATTACGGTACCATCAAAGGTTTAGCTACAGGTACTGAATGTCAGGGCTTTCAAAAAGATTAGAAACAGGTTTTTGAAAGGCCTTGAATATTCTAGATTAAAAAAAAACTGTAATATTAGTTATTGCAACCTAGCTTCATAACTAGGAGATAATGCATAAAATCTTCATGGTGTGACTGATACCAATGACAGAGAAAATTTAGTTTACAAGCATGTACATTTAAGTATTAAATCATTACAAGAAAATAGATACTAGTAACATGTATAAGAAATACATGTACATATAGACATGGTTAATTTATAGTTAGATAAATGTTAATTATACATTCATGTATAATATATCATGTATAATATATGATACATTTTGGGCATATGACTAAATGAAGATGTTTTTATCACAGTGGTCAATGCTCATAATTCTGATAATTCAGGGTAAGATAATTTCCATGACCACTCATCCCCATGATGATTTTGCTCGTTCTATATATGCAAAGTAATTCAAATTGAAAAAGATCATATGACATTTTAGATTGCTGTATCATTTACATTGTGTCTGTTATACACATGATATATATTCATTTATTAAGAATCTGGGTCTCATGTCAAGTCTGAAAGCAGTTTGTTTCATTCTGTTGAAATCATTACTGAATATAAAACAATAAAAAAAAACTTGTCCCAAATTTTTATGACGTCCACTCCTCCTAGGTCACTTTCCATTTGTCCAGGCCGAGTGGACAAGTGCTTTTTTGCACCCTGTAATAGGTTTAAGATGTTGCATGGTGCTGCCAAGGCTTCTTAGACTAAAAAAAAAAAAGAATATCTGTGAAAATTAAGAATTGCGGTTCCTCCAATAGTTATGATTAGATTTCAGAGAGACTTGGTACATGTATAGAAACACCAGAATACATAATTCTGTTAATGTAAGACTTTAACAAAAAGAAATCCCAGGTGAAACTTTTCTCCACTATAATTGATTAGAAGTATGAATCGAGGCTCAGTTTTATCATGCTGATATTCAGTACTAATAAATATTTGATTATGACTGGTAAGTTACATAAACATGTTCTTTTAATACTAGAGAAGATATTTGAAATCTAAAGTGAAGATAGATGTAATTGTACAAGTTATTTTGACTTATTAGTTATCTTCCAAAATTAGTGAGACTGATTCTATTTTTCTAATTTCATCACCTAGTGTACTTCATATTAAATGCCCAACATGTGAATACTTTGAGGCATTTACATATAGAAGATGAAAGTTACCATAACAAAAATACAAATTTTATGTTAATTCACGTTTTACAATAACTGGTAAAACGTCTAGTCCTGGAAAGCTTGTTTTATCTATTTCCTCTTTGTTTTGGTTTTTTAGGTCACCTGAGTCACTCAGATGACCTATTGCTGTCTCTTTTTTCCATCATATGACCTGTGTCATATGTCAGTCATAAATTTTCAAACATTTCCAGTTTCTTCTCTGGAACCTTTAAACCAATTTCAGACAATTTCAGGATATAGCATCTTTGGGTAAAAGGGAATAAAAACTATGAATTGCATGGTCCCTGCCCCTCTGGGGCCTGAGGGTTAGGTCTAAAACCATCAAAATTAATTGCAATCTGCAAAAAAAAATTTTCTTTTCTCCTTGACATCAAGCAGTCAAATTGTTGGCATGATTGTAATAAGCATTGAACCCTTTACCAAAGATGTGGAATTCATGGCCCTAGGGTCAGGGGTTCTGGAATTAGGGTGGGACTCTATTGATCAATGTAGTGAAAATGCATAAATTCTTTGAAAAGCTTCTCTCACTGGCAGATTTAGAGGGGGGCAGGGCCCCCCCCCCCCCCCTTTTGTGTCCAAAATATACATAAGATTTAATAAATCAATTTTTTTGATGTGGCCATGGGCCCCTACCCCGACCCCAAACTGGTCGGGCCCTCCCTTTTCAAAATTCCTGGATCTGCCATAGTCTCTCCCCTCTATATTTAGCAGACAACTAAGTGCATGGTTATGATGAGCAAGTAAGATCTTCCAAAATTGTGAAATTCATGGCCCCTGGGTGAGGGATTGTGGTTTTAGGATGGGTTCTATTCATTATATATTGAAAATGCATAAATTCATTGAAAACCTGGGTATTCAGCAGACAAACTAAATGCATGGTTTACAGGTTATGATGAGCAAGAGTGCCTTTTCCAAACTTGTGAAATTCATGGCCCCTGCATCAGCAGTTGTGGTGTTAGGGCAGGGCTCTATTGAATATATAATAAAAATATGTTATTCTTTGAAAATCTTATTCTTTGCCCCTGGGAATCTATGAGACAAACAGAGTACAAAGTTGTGGTGGGAAAGGGTGTTTTTACTAGATTTATGAAATTCTTAACTAGTGCTTCCAGGGTTCTACTCTAGTGCTGGGCAGGGCTCTGTTGATCTTTTAGGAAAATCTGTTCTCTGAGAGAAGTTATTTGGAATCCTCTTTGGTAATTACTTATGATATGTACTGTTAGTAAATAAAGGTCAATTGAATAAAAAAATTATACAAGACATTGTTATTTAATATACCGTATAACGGGTATTTTCTGCCGTTGTCCAATTTTTGCGGATAGGACAAATCCGCAAAAATTACAATCGCAAAATATTTTTCAATTATATTGATTCAGATATTTTATACATGCAATTTTGATAAGTGGTGCGTATGTCTGACAGGGTTAAATTCTCATTAACACAAGAACCTGCGTTCCAGACGCATAAAAATTATTATCATTATCTATATATTTGAATATTTTAATCATGTTAATAGATCGCATAAGACATCTGTTAGAATAAAGATTTTCATTGTTGTTTGGGGGGACTGACACTGCATTAATTCTTTTCAATTGGGACTCAAAATATTTTACAAAGACTAATTAAAAGACAGTAGTCTAATTAAGCTTAATACCAGTTCTCATGCACCTTCAATCAATATGTCTTAAAGAATTTATAAAACATAAACATGGCAGGGTTCTGGTAATTCATAAAGTTTAGTGATCATACCCCATAAATAAATTTTTGCGGTATAATGCAACTGCAGAAATTGAAAACGCAGAAAATAATTTGCTACCTCTTTGGGATAAAATCGCAAAAATTTCCAACCACAGAAAATACCCGTTATACGGTATAATACAAAAAGTACTTTTAAAGTTTTAATGGTCAAATAGACTTGTGAATAATAGATAAATTAAACGGTATATCACCTTATATTTGTACATTATTTAATGTAATTCAAAGACCAAGAGAGGGCAGTGTGAGAGGGATTCTGCTGGATTTACTCTGTGTATACTATATTATGTGCTCAAGCACTGGAGACATGGGAGAGTATTAGCACTGGCAAATAAAGGCAAGCACATGTAAACATGGTAAACCGACCTACTTTATGAGTTGTTGTGGAGTACTAGGTTAACTTTTTTTTGTTGATATCTGATCATCCTATTTCTCTTTGGGCAACATATCTTCATCTATCAGTTTATATTGTTTTATTTCATACTTCTATAGATCTTTTACAGTGCTATATTATACTCAGGTGACCATTATGGCCTCTTGTTATTTTTATTTTTAGCTCACCTCGACGAAGTCGAGATGAGCTTATGCTATACCCCCGGTGTCAGCATTAGTGTCGGCGTCCCTGTTAAAGTTTTAGGAGCAAGTCCATTCCGAAGTAAATATAAGCTCTACCTGGACCAAACTTGTATGGATGATGCATCTAGGGATGGACACTACCACACTTGCTTCGGATGCTGGATCTGACCTAGATTTTCCAGTTGAGTGACCAGGTTAAAGTTTTTGGAGCAGGTCCACTCCCAAGTAACTATAAGCCCTACCTTGACCAAACTTGCATGGATGATGCATCTAGGTATGGACACTACCAGATTTGCTGCAGATGCTGGATCTGACCTACATTTTCCAGATGAGTGACCAGGTTAAAGTTTTTGGAGCAGGTCCATTCCCAAGTAACTATAAGGCCTACCTGGACCAAACTTGCATGGATGATGCATCTAGGGATAGACACTACCAGACTTGCTTCGGATGCTGGATCTGACCTACATTTTCCAGATGAGTGACCAGGTTAAAGTTTTTGGAGAAGGTCCATTCCCAAGTAACTATAAGCCCTACCTGGATCAAGCTTGCATGGATGATGTATCTAGGGATGGGCACTACCAGACTTGCTTCGGATGCTGGATCTTACATATATTTTCCAAATGAGTAACCATG